AAAAAGACTTGAATTTGAGGCAGAGGAGGTGGATGGAGTTTATTGAGGATTACGACTTCGAGTTGCATTACCATCCGGGAAAGGCCAATGTTGTGACCGATGCCCTTAGTAGGAAATCCATTAGTGATGTAGCTTGTATAGCCATCCGGGAGTGGGAAATGTTGGGTGCACTTGGAGAGTTTGATTTGCTTCTGGGCGAATCTGTTGAGTCTGCGGCCTTGTTTTCAGTAGTTGCGCAGCCTACACTTGTGAATCGAGTGTTAGAGGCACAGAGGGGTGACCATGAGGTAGAATCCCTCTGGGAGAAGATCTCTAGTGAGAAAGTTGAGAAGGGTTTGATTATGTATCCCGACCTAAGTGTGAGGTACCGAGACCGTTTGTTTGTACCAGAGTCTTGCCGAGAGGAAGTACTCCGAGAGTTTCACCATTCACGCCTTGCGGTGCATCCGGGAGGCACTAAGATGTATCGTAATTTGGGTCGCCAGTTTTGGTGGCGGGATATGAAGAAAGATGTGGTTGTTTTTGTGTCTAAGTGCCTTACTTGTCAGTAAGTGAAGGCCGAGCATCAGAGGCCAACGGGTTTGTTACAGCCCTTGCCTATAGCCGAGTGGAAGTGGGAGCATGTCACGATGGACTTCATTGTAGGTCTTCCGAGGACTCAACGGGGTAGTGATGTTATTTGGGTAGTTGTAGACCGGTTGACTAAGTCGGTGCACTTCATTCCTATGCGCGTGAGAGGTTCGGTAGATCATCTTGCCGACTTGTATATTCGGGACATAATGAGGTTGCACGGGTCCTAGTGTCGATCGTCTCAGATAGAGATCTACGTTTTACTGCTAGGTTATGGTAGAGATTGCAGAGTGCCTTGGGCACTAGGTTGATCTTTAGTATGGCTTATCATCCTCAGACTGACAGGCAGTACGAACGTACTATTCAGATCCTTGAGGATATGTTTCGAGGCTGTCCTTGACTTTAGTGGGTCATGGGAGAGGCACTTGCCCTTAGTGGAGTTTGCCTATAACAACAATTTCCAATCGAGTATTGGTATGGCACCGTTTGAGGCCTTGTATGGTCGACCGTGTAGGTCTCCAGTGTGTTAGGCCGAGGTGGGTAATGCACCTTTGTTGCGCCCGTTGTTGGTTCGAGAGACGACGGAGAAAGTTGAGCTTATCCGTAAGAGATTTGTTACAGCCCAAAGTCGCTAAAAGAGTTATGCCGACCGTAGGAGGAGGCCTTTGTCATTTAAGGTGGGCAATCACGTTTTTCTAAAAATATCACCTAGGCGGGGTTTGATGAGATTTGGGAAGTTGTCCCCTCGATTTATTGGCCCTTTTAAGATCCTTGAGAGGATTGGCGAGGTTGCCTATCGTTTAGCCTTACCGCCGCAGTTGTCCGGAGTGCATGACGTGTTTCATGTTAGTATGCTTCAGAAGTACGAGCCAGATCCGTCGCATGTATTGGATTGAACAGACTTAGAGGTTGATGAGGATGCCTCGTATGAGGAGAGACCGGTGCAGGTCTTGGATAGGCGGGACCAAGTCTTGCGAGGCAAGACGATACCTTTGGTAAAAGTTTTGTGGAAACATCACGAGGTGGAGGAAGCCACTTGGGAACGTGAATTGGAGGTCCGAGAGAAGTATCCGGATCTATTTGTGGATGTTTGAGCATATGTTGGATATTTTGTTGTATTGATAAACTTTAAGAACATTGAATATGTCTTAAGTTGTAAAACGCTGTATATGTTTCGGTTTATGGAAGTATTATTGAATATGCCTTGAAAATGGAAGTTTAATTTGACATTGTATATATTAAATGTATTGTAGAAATGCAAATATATCATTAACATTGAGTATGTTATGGAATGATAGAATATGGTATTGGAAATGGTTGAATTTCAAAGAAAAGCATGTTGTTAATGCATATTGAATTATATTGTGAATTGCCTCTTAAAAAGAGATGGGATGACTGGTAATGAGTCGGGATGTTGAACATTAAATGGTAACATTGTTGAGAATTAAGAAATCATGTTTTTGAAACTTATATCTAATTTCAGGGACGAAATTCTTTAAGGGGGGGAGGTTATAGCGATCCCAGTTTTCCCTCCATTGGTTGTTGTATTCCAGGCTCGGTTCTGTGGATATCGGTTGTTGCATATGTTTCATTTTCATCCTTTAATTCTTTGTATATGAGTTTTAGGATGTGTTGGGCAGGTTTGTAACAGGTTGGTTGGAATTAGAAACAAACTATTGCTGCCCAAATTATGGTGTCTTCGCTCGAACGAGCTCGGTGTTTTAGTTTCTTCGCTTGAGCTAGGGTTACTTCGCTCAAGCGAGAGTTGAGTGGTGTGTCTTTTGGCTCGAGCGAGAAGTCTTGCGCTCGAGCTTGCGTCTGCATCTAGTTTGGACCTGAAGGTTGCATTTCTTGGCTCGAGCGAGATTTCCTTCGCTCGAGCGAGCGAGGACTGTGTTTTGGGTTTCTTCGCTCGAGCGAGCATTCTTGCGCTCGAGCGTGCTTCTGGGTTGCAGACTTGAAGCTTTGTGTTGTTGGCTCGAGCGAGGTTTCTTTGTGTGTGGTCGCTTGAGCGACCACTTCTTCGCTCGAGCGAGCCTTGAAAATATCAGTTCGTAGCAATAGTCTCCTTCATCACTTCTTGATCCACTTTACATCTCAAACCCTAGATTCGGCTCCCTCTCTCTCTACACATACCTTCTCTCTACAAATACTCCATGTTCTAGGAGTCTCCTACCCTAATCCCTTTATAAGAAAGGTGGAGCTTGGTGTAGGCTACATTTTAATCTGAAAATTATTGAGTTTGGAGCATCCTGAGTTTTCATCATCTTCTCTATTTGGTTTCTTCATTTGAGGTAGGGATACCCTACTCCTTATTATGGGTTTTGACATAAATTTTAGTCATTTTGATTAGTTGGTGGATTATGGTAATTTTGGGAAAGTTAGGGTTTGTTTTAAAGTCATAAAAAGGAGTTTTAAATTGTTAAACTCCATGTGTAATGAGACCTTGGAAAATGGAATTATTGTTGTTAAATTGATGAAATTGAACCTTAGGGTTAATATTTGAAAAAGGGGGGAGAATGCCCTAATTATATTGAATAATTAATTTGGGAAAATATGGAATTGAGTTAGAAATGAAATTGGGAATTTATGAGATTAAATGGTGTAGTCGGATTGATTAATCACTCACTTATTACAATATTGATATTTTATTTGTTTGATAAATTTATTATCTATTTAGAGATAACTGCTTTGGGCTATCGGTGGAGGATAGTCTTGATTGTTGTAGACACTGTATGTTGATTAGAGAAAACTGAAACTAATCACATTGAATATGACAGTTGGAATAATACATCGAATATGTGTATTGATTGATCATTGTATATGATAAGTGTTTAAATACATTATATATGTATATTGTGTAGGAGAATATAGGGAATTTACTCCATGGTTTGAGAGAAGATAGGGGATGCACTCTCAAACCTGTTTAGGAGGAGATAGGGGATGGACTCCATTGATAACTAAGTTGGCCGGAGTGTCCAGGGTGAAAGTCCCAAAATCCAAATTGCATTTGCATAACGTAGATAATTGAAGTATTGAAGTGTTATTATATGAGTTGTTGTCTCGTTGGAATTGTGGAAAAATTGAAGTGCTTTAATATGAGTTGTAGGCTCATTTAATTGTTGGCTAGATAATGAGCCATGTTTATATACTTGAATTTGATGAATAAAGGAAAGTGAAATGGAACATGTACGTACTTGTCATAGAACTGGGATGTGTTGTAAGTTGATTTACAAGTGTTAATTATTTAACGAATGCTAATGTTTTAGTTATTTCTCATATTTGGTTTAGTATATCTCTACTGGGCTTTGGCTCACCCTATATGGGACATCATTTTCAGGTTCAGGTGATATGCTACCTCCAAGGACGTAGCTTAGGAGACTTTGAGGCTGATAGATCCTTTTGTTGTTCTCTTTTGGTATTACATGTAAATTCAAGCCAAGGGCTTAATGTTTATTTGAGTTAATGCTCTCTTTTTGTAACCAAGTGTTGGCTTGGAAAGTTGTAAGCCCGTAGGGCATTTACTTTTGTTGTCAACATGTAATACTTTTGTAATGAATACTCTGATAAATGGAAATATGCTTCATTCTCATATGTCTATGGATATCTTGAATGTTGGGTTTATGTATTATTTTGAGGGCGTTACAACTATTGTCTTGGATCAGTCGTCCCGACACAAAGGCCGATTGATTAGGAGTGACAAGACTGCGAAGAACATGTTTAAGGCGGTTAGCCAGCACTTTGGTGATGATTTTCATAGAGAAATTACACAAACTAATGGGTCGGTACTGTGTGAGTTTTACTGGGGCAGCGGTTTTTGGGTTAAGCACTAGATTGGTATGATTCAATTCTCGGAGCACAAAGCCGCTATAGGAAAATATTTTAACTGCTGCACACACAACCCCTTCTACCACCTCCCAATGCTTATGATAGAAAATCCCAGGAAAGCCGTCGTGTCCAGGGGCTTTTAAGGCCCCTAGCTAAAAGGTTGCTGCCTTAATTTCATCATCAGTCACGGAGCAAGTGAGAGCTCTATTCATATCCGCATTGACGGTAGTGTGGACCACCTCCAGGGCTTCACTCAAGTCCCTGTTTGGTAGGGCTTGATAGAGAGTTTGGAAGTAGTCTCGTAAATGCCCATTTATAGCCTCATCTGACTCTAACCATTCCCCATTTGTTGTTTGAAGTTTGATCAACTGATTCCTTTGTATGCGTTGGGTGACCGTAGCATGGAAAAAGGTGGAATTTTTGTCCCCATATGTTAACCAATTGATCCGGGATGGTTGGTGTTGAAACATCTCTTCTCTCAATAAGACTTCCTCAATATTAGCTTGCAGAGATTGGATAAGACTCAAATTGTCATCGGAGAAAGGAAGCATTTGAACATCTAAGAGTTTTGCTTTAAGGGTTGCAAGCTTGATGCGATTATCTCAGTCAAGAGAAGTATCAACCTGAGCTTGGTCGTCATGCCTCTTAGTTGAACTAGCATCCTGTACAACCAGTAATGAGGGGGGAGCAACCTCCTTGATGGATACTAAACTGGTTACACTAGAATCAGATAACTTTCTCTTTTCCCTCCGATTTTGTTTCTTCCTCTGATTGGGTTTAGCACTACTCAAGTCAAGAGAAGTATCAACCTGAGCTTGGTCGTCATGCCTCTTAGTTGAACTAGCATCCTGTACAACCAGTAATGAGGGGGGAGCAACCTCCTTGATGGATACTAAACTGGTTACACTAGAATCAGATAACTTTCTCTTTTCCCTCCGATTTTGTTTCTTCCTCTGATTGGGTTTAGCACTACTCAAGTCAAGAGAAGTATCAACCTGAGCTTGGTCGTCATGCCTCTTAGTTGAACTAGCATCCTGTACAACCAGTAATGAGGGGGGAGCAACCTCCTTGATGGATACTAAACTGGTTACACTAGAATCAGATAACTTTCTCTTTTCCCTCCGATTTTGTTTCTTCCTCTGATTGGGTTTAGCACTACTCAAGTCAAGAGAAGTATCAACCTGAGCTTGGTCGTCATGCCTCTTAGTTGAACTAGCATCCTGTACAACCAGTAATGAGGGGGGAGCAACCTCCTTGATGGATACTAAACTGGTTACACTAGAATCAGATAACTTTCTCTTTTCCCTCCGATTTTGTTTCTTCCTCTGATTGGGTTTAGCACTACTCAAGTCAAGAGAAGTATCAACCTGAGCTTGGTCGTCATGCCTCTTAGTTGAACTAGCATCCTGTACAACCAGTAATGAGGGGGGAGCAACCTCCTTGATGGATACTAAACTGGTTACACTAGAATCAGATAACTTTCTCTTTTCCCTCCGATTTTGTTTCTTCCTCTGATTGGGTTTAGCACTACTCAAGTCAAGAGAAGTATCAACCTGAGCTTGGTCGTCATGCCTCTTAGTTGAACTAGCATCCTGTACAACCAGTAATGAGGGGGGAGCAACCTCCTTGATGGATACTAAACTGGTTACACTAGAATCAGATAACTTTCTCTTTTCCCTCCGATTTTGTTTCTTCCTCTGATTGGGTTTAGCACTACTCAAGTCAAGAGAAGTATCAACCTGAGCTTGGTCGTCATGCCTCTTAGTTGAACTAGCATCCTGTACAACCAGTAATGAGGGGGGAGCAACCTCCTTGATGGATACTAAACTGGTTACACTAGAATCAGATAACTTTCTCTTTTCCCTCCGATTTTGTTTCTTCCTCTGATTGGGTTTAGCACTACTCAAGTCAAGAGAAGTATCAACCTGAGCTTGGTCGTCATGCCTCTTAGTTGAACTAGCATCCTGTACAACCAGTAATGAGGGGGGAGCAACCTCCTTGATGGATACTAAACTGGTTACACTAGAATCAGATAACTTTCTCTTTTCCCTCCGATTTTGTTTCTTCCTCTGATTGGGTTTAGCACTACTCAAGTCAAGAGAAGTATCAACCTGAGCTTGGTCGTCATGCCTCTTAGTTGAACTAGCATCCTGTACAACCAGTAATGAGGGGGGAGCAACCTCCTTGATGGATACTAAACTGGTTACACTAGAATCAGATAACTTTCTCTTTTCCCTCCGATTTTGTTTCTTCCTCTGATTGGGTTTAGCACTACTCAAGTCAAGAGAAGTATCAACCTGAGCTTGGTCGTCATGCCTCTTAGTTGAACTAGCATCCTGTACAACCAGTAATGAGGGGGGAGCAACCTCCTTGATGGATACTAAACTGGTTACACTAGAATCAGATAACTTTCTCTTTTCCCTCCGATTTTGTTTCTTCCTCTGATTGGGTTTAGCACTACTCAAGTCAAGAGAAGTATCAACCTGAGCTTGGTCGTCATGCCTCTTAGTTGAACTAGCATCCTGTACAACCAGTAATGAGGGGGGAGCAACCTCCTTGATGGATACTAAACTGGTTACACTAGAATCAGATAACTTTCTCTTTTCCCTCCGATTTTGTTTCTTCCTCTGATTGGGTTTAGCACTACTCAAGTCAAGAGAAGTATCAACCTGAGCTTGGTCGTCATGCCTCTTAGTTGAACTAGCATCCTGTACAACCAGTAATGAGGGGGGAGCAACCTCCTTGATGGATACTAAACTGGTTACACTAGAATCAGATAACTTTCTCTTTTCCCTCCGATTTTGTTTCTTCCTCTGATTGGGTTTAGCACTACTCAAGTCAAGAGAAGTATCAACCTGAGCTTGGTCGTCATGCTTCTTAGTTGAACTAGCATCCAAGCACTGTTGGAAACTAGGCAGCTGCTCTGCAACTTCCGAAACAGAATTTCCATCCACTCTTTCAACGAACTCAGTATTAGTTAAATAGCAGCCAGGCTGGCAACCTCCATTCTGAAAGTTTTGATCAGTATCATTGCTTGTCAAGACATTATGCCTACTATTTTTCTTCTTTCCATTGTCTACATTCTGAGATAAAATCACTTCTGAATCATGTTGTGTGATTTCTAAATCTGTACTTAAGCATGTACTGACTGAAGGATGCAGAATGGAATCTACTTTTACAGGACTGGCCTTTATTGAAGTGCCATTGGGAAGATTATCATCTATATCTTTCCTTTTCAGCGAATTACTCGTCTGGTTCTTTTTCTCTGTCTTTCTCTTTTCCTTTCTCCTTTTCTTTTTCTTTTCCTCTGCATTACATTGGGTCATTTCCAAATCCAACTTTAAGCTAACATCTCCTTTAGGCCATGTATTAGAATCATTTTCTAGAAGAGCATTCTCCATTAAAGTAATCTCTGGAAGACAAAGATTCATGACAATTAGCAGGACGCTGTGCCTTCTTTTCTACTACTTTGTCTTTCTCTTTTTTCTGCCACAAACTTAGGTCTGAATAATGCTTTGCGTATGAACCTCCATCTAAGGAAGTTTCCTTGCCTGAAGTACTTTTTGATATGCCACAAATGCTCTCATTCCCATTCAGTGATTGTTCCTATGTCCTTGGCTTCTTACCTGTGTTCAAATCAACAAGTTGCCAGATATCCGCTTTGCAGCGTTTCTCAAGCCAGTAGGATAAGATTAAATTTATTAATTAATATTTTCCTTTGCACCCTTTCCATCAGTCAGGACCTGCAATAACATAGGGGGGGAAAACTCAAAAAACTTCTTTTTTTTTTTGTTGCCCCAACCAAACATCAAACAACATAAGAAATACAAGCATTGTTAGAAAATCAATGCTCTACTTGTAACACGCAAACAATCAAAGTCCAAAATCATTATGTGGAAGATTCACAAAACCATCATTGCTGACTCACATAAGCGAACAACTCGTGCATAAAAACTGTCTTGAAAAAATGAGTCAGAATTGTCACACTCCCCGACTCCTTTCCTCTCATGACAAGAACTAACAGCAGAATAAATACAATACGCAAATAATAACCCATAATGCCAATATATTTAGCACCAAAACCAATCATCCAAGTTGTAAAAGCATAATACTTTCCTCAAAAGTTTAATAACAATTTGTAAATGTCATTTATCTGATACTAGTACTGCAAACAAATAGAAGCAGAAGTATGACCAAGTGAAGCTATTATCCATAAGACAGTAACCCAAAAAACTAGATGACCAAACTTTTGTGAACTCCTAAAAGTAAGAGAGCTAAGTGGATATCTCCATTCCAGATAAAGATAGAATATAGACTAGTTACATGTTAGAAGCAAAAGGAACTTGCATAATAAACAAACATTTTATGCTTACAAATTTCACATGTGCTTCGCACATGAAAAAGGTCAAGCAATCTTATGATTGAAAAATTTCCACAAGCATGTATATTGCATTGCTTATCAAATAATATAAATAGACAGAGCTCAAAATTTATTAAATAAAGATAATAAATTGTTTGTACTAATTCAAGTACGTTTCAAAGTCAAGGGCATAAAATACTGAGACGAGACAATTACAGGCAGGCCTAGTTTGGGAAGACTAAATAAGTGCACTTTTTGACTTTTTATGAAATACGGGTTGGTTTTGGGTTGGGTTTGAAGTGATGTGTTAGAGAGGTGATGTAACTTAAATAAGATGATGTGACTTAAATAGGATAGTGACTTTTTGACTTTTTGTCTTTTTTCAATCTTCCCAAACTAGGCCTTAATAATAAGTACTGCTCCAACTTTCAATGATAAATTTCTCGTTATAAAAATATTTTTAAAAAATACAATTCAACTACTTACACATCCCACATCATATTTCAATACAAACTACAACAAATAAACTAAAAATAAATCAAAACTCACAAACAAAAGACAAAATGTCCCAATCATTTCACACTTTGATAAATTTCTCAATGTCATAACCAGTGCCAAATGATCATTCCAAAAACATACATATAAAAGTCTCAAAATTTTCTCATTATCAAAACGAGGGTTAAATACATTTTTAAAAAAATAAAATAAAATAAAAAATTCACTCAGGACTTATAAGTAAGTAAGTCCGGTCCATAGGACTTGCTGGTAATTATCCCTAAAATAATACACGTGCATATACTTACTCAAACATACGTTGCGTAGCAATAATTGAGATCATATTACGATATTTGTAAATAAAACATCAGGGGGCATATTTTGGAATGTCGAGAAAAGGGATGACCTAAGTCACATCTAATGTCACAACTTCCACAATAACATTAACTTTGCACTATGCATATGATAAAACATCAAAATGAGCAACATTGCATTTCCATATTGTTAAATAATCTCGATTTATTTTTGGAACTACTTGGATTTTCACAAAGGGTTTGGTACTAGAAACAGAACTTGATTTGATCAACACAAGCAAACCTGACCAAAATCTCTATTGAAATGATTCTATAGTTTTGCTTTAAAAAAAAAAAGAAATTCCCATGTGTTTCAAACAAATGTTGAAGCAGCATTCAAAGATTTTTTCAATCTTACCTCCATCACTAAAGAATAAAGATTACTTCATAATCACTTCGTCTCACAAAATCCAGATCAAGTCTAACAACTAACGCAAAGCAATAGTATAAGAACAAAACACCAATCGATTCCAATTCTTAAATACACAAAAACCAACAATAACATAATCACCAAATAGCGAAAAAAGAAAATCTAACCAAATCAAAAGCAAATTCACAAAACAATTCAAATTTTAGAGAGAGAGAGAGAGAGAGAGAAGTACCTGGAAGAGTAAAGTACGAAACAAGAGAAAGTGGAGGAGGAGAGGGAGAGGGAGAGGGAGAGAGAGAGAGAGAGAGAGAGGTGAAGTGAAACGTGCAACCAAACACCCTCAGATGAAATTTCGCTTTACATATAGGTTTTCCAAGTAGGGTTTCTGTTTGGAACTCGCTTCTATGTGAGCTGAACATTCGGATGGGTACCACGTGTTCTTTTTTCTTTTTTGGGTACTTTCGATCCTTCAGTTTATGGAATTTTATATGTATAAATTATTTATTAAAAAAATTTAAAATTGAGTTTTTTTTTCTTTTTGGTGGCAAAAATAAGAATTTCAATTAAAATATAAAATAGAAAATAGAAAATAGAAAATAGAAAATAGTACACAGTTGTCCAAGCAACATACTAACAAACTAATTACAAGCAAAAAAAGAAATCAAAATAAAAAAAAAATATTTCTTACTGCCTAACTATTGTCAAAAGAAAATGTCATAAAACATGCTAACCTCTTAGTAGGATGAAGATAACTTTTATATGCGAAGGAGATTTTACAAGTGTGAAAGTGCTACGCAACAAAACAAATATCAAAAATCTATAGTGCCAAGCTTGCTTCAATGTTCTTAGTTCCCTTCGGTTGTTCAAACAAAAATTTGGCATCAGTAAAGACATCAACATAATAGTAATTATTGTCCTTAGCCCACTTGAGAGCAGACAAAACAGATGCAACTGGAGCATCATGAGCATTCACGTACAAAGATTTAAATAATGAGCTCACCTTGGTCTTGTTAAGGAAGGCAACTATGCCAATACACATGCCTAAAGGAGATGAATTACCCATATGACTACAAAGAAGGTCCACAGGAAGAGAGTTGCAATCACAACTGTTTTGTGAAGGATTGAAAAGATAGAAAGGTGAGGAGTTGGAGGAAGAATCAGTGTTTGCTAGTGATGTAGAACTGATAAAAGAGTTGTGATTATTAAGAATTCTAGTAGAAGAAGAATAATAGCTAAGAAATTCTTTAGTTGTTAAGAGAGAAGAGAAGATGTCTTTAGCTAAGAATAAAACTTGTAGAGGTGTGAATTTTTTGCCACAAAATAAACTCTGTCCCCTAACCTTCCAAATAACCCAAAGGATCTGAAGGTCATTATTAGTAGAGAGGTTAAGATGTGAAAACCAAGAGCCCAACCAATAGGATATAGGATTGGCACTGTTTGAGGGTGTAATAAACCCAAAGAAGAACCAAACCACACTTGTTTGACAAAATCACAACATAGAAACAAATTAGGGGCAGATTCTAAACCAGAATGACAAAGGGGGCAGACTAAATTTTCATGAACGCCTCTAATGACCAAATTTTGTTTCACATGAAGTTTATCATGGCAAAGGTGCCATATAAAAAACCGAATCTTGAAAGGTAGAGGTAGGGACCAAAGTTACTTTCAAGTAAATCTAGGCCCAGCAGGATGAATCACTTTGTTAAGAGAAGAAGTGTTCCAAAAGTAAGGTTAAATGACATCACCTCTAGAAATTTGTTCCATTATAGAACAAGTTGTAGACTTCAAATGTTCTAAAAGGTGATAGGCAGACCTTACTGTAAATTCACTAGAAGAAGAAGGACCCCAAATAAGTCTATCAAGAAATCCAAAATTGAAAAGAGGGATTGTGTATAACAATTGAATAATGGAAGAAGGAAGTGAGGCTGGTAGAAGTGTTAAGTTCCATTGGTAAAGATCTTGATTTATGAGGTCTGAAACCCAAAAGTTGTCAAGCAACAAATTATTCTCTGAGTCAATTAAAGATGAGAGGGTAACAGGACAACATAAGGGTAGCCAAGGATCATGCCATAAAGAAATGTCATTCACATTCCTAATTTGCCAACGAATGCCTTTTTTCAAGGCTTCTCTTCCAAAAATGATACTTCTCTAGCACCAAGAGCTTGATGAAGCCATGTGTAATGAAAGGAAAAAAGAAGATTGACAATATTTAGCTTGAAAGAAGGATGAGAAAAGAGAATCAAGACACATCAATATTCTCTAGCTTTGTTTAGCTAAGAGTGCTTGGTTAAAGAGAGATATGTCTCTTAATCCAAGGACTCCAATGGATAGAGGCTGACAAATTACTTCCCAACTTAGCCAATGGATTGACCTCTTGTTTGGATTACCCGCCCAAATAAAGTTTGAGATAACATAAGAGATTTTGTTACAAACATATTTGGGAAAACGTTAAATGGAAAGGTAATAAATCAAGATGAGAACCAATACTGATTTGACAAGAGAGTTGACCTACTTTATATAAGAAGAAAATATATCCAATCTAGGCATTTGGATCATACTCTTTCAATGCAATGACGAAAAATCTCCTTTTTTTTAGACACTATATCAAGCTCAATCCCCAAATACTTCCCGAAATTAACAGCCAAACTTATAACTAGATGTTGAGATAAAGATTGTTGCAGGGCATAAGGTGTATTGGGGTTGGCAAAGAGATTGGACTTGTGAAGATTGATGGCATGACCAGAAAGTTTACAATAAGTGTCTAAAATCTTTTTCAAATTTTGGCCTGTATGGGGGTGATTTTAAAGAAGAGGACGCTGTCATTTGCAAAAAGAAGGTGAGAAATAGATGGTGCAGTTCTGGATATTTTAACACCTCCTAAATTTAATTTGAGTTGTAGCTATACAATAAGTACTAAATTAATTTTATTTTAATTTTAAATAAAATATATAAAGACTTATAAAATAAACTACTCATCATTATAATGAAACTTATAATAGTTTCCAATTAGATTGAATTGCACTTTTCTTTTTAATATAAAAGAATATCAGTATGTTTGGTTTCAATTTTCTAAATTTAGTTTTTTAAAAATTGAGTTTTTTATTTTTCGTGTTTTTTTTTAATTTTTAGTGAATATTTTTTAAATTTTAAACAATTTGTTTACTTTTTTAGATGAACTTTACTTAGATGTATTTAAATAGTATAATATTTATGAAAAAATATTTTAAAAAATTAATAATTACACAAAAATACAAAAAATGTACTGATTTTTTGTATTTTTTGGTATTTAGTGTATTGTTTAAAACAAAATCACAAATATTATACTTTTTAAGTGTATTTATGTTAAGTGTGTCTAATTTTTTTTAAAAAAAAATTACTTAAAATATTTAAAAAATTCATTGAAATCATTAAAATATGAAAAATAAAAAGGTAAAATTTTTTGAAAATTAGAACCAAACAAGCTGATATTTTAAATTTAACCTTGTGAAGACTTTTATCGGCTATGGAAACCAAAATTGGTTTATTTATTATGATGGCCATAATTTTTAGAACCTACGGTGAAATTTAATTAAAAATTGATTCGGATCAAAATAATTAGATTAATTTGGTGTAATTAAGTCTATTTGATTAAGCTTAAGCTTTGATTAGCCAATAAGATCATATATATATATATATATATATAATAAGCAATATAGATATGGGATGATTTGGAAAGTTGGTTAAAAGTTAACTTTTTGACTTTTTTTAACTTTTTTGTCTCTTTGTGTTGTGTGTAAAAAATATGAGAGGTGATGTGAAGGAAATTCTATTTCCACATATCCTTTTATCTCTGTGCACATCATATCTTAGTTTACACACTTATGTTATGTTTGGTTGGGAGATTTGAGGAGAGATTTGGAAAGGGAAAGGGAAAAGAAAAAGTTAGGTAAAATTTGAATAAAATATACTCACATTTCACTTAGTTTCACACACCTTTTCTTTTTCCCTTTCTAAATCTCTTTTCAAATTCTCCAACCAAACACAACATTAATGAATTTGAAAAGAAAATATTTACTCAATACACAGCCCTTTATACTAGAAATGCCATCTTCTTCATCCTTCCAACACTAACCCCGATCTCTAACTCTAACTAGTCACTGTGGTCTAACCTTAAATACATGCCCCTACTGAGGCAATCAAGGAAGGAGGCCAGCAGTTGTACTTACAGTTTTGGTCCTATTTCTCAAGTCCATTCCCACACCTCCCACATGCATTTCTCTCTCTCTCTCTTAAATCTTTTTCTATAGCTCACATTGGAATCACACCCCACGTGTATCCTGCTATTTTAAAACGTAGTGAAATTCCACTCTCTATTTGAATACATTACATTGATCCCTTTTTAAATTTAATTTTAATTAAAAAAAAATCACATGAAATATCTATAAACAATATTAAGAAGAACTTGAGCTTGAGTTAAAGGTAGAGCTAAAAAACCGTCAAATTAGTAGAAGTAGGAGTACGAGGAGAGAGTAAGGATACAAAGATAATCCATCTCCTGCAAACAAACTCACCTGAAGTGAAGGAAAGGAGATGACTAACCAAACCAAACTACTAACAAATTTAATTTTTGGGTGGCTTGGAAATTAGGGTTTTGAATGTGAAAGATAAAAGAATATTTTGGTATTTTTATTTTAGAATAAAAATGTAATTGATTTTTTTTTTTTCATTAAGTGTGTGGAGTGAGAGAACTGTGTATAGATATAGAATTTTCCCATAATGTGATCCCAAATTGATTAAAACTTAAAAGTTAACTTTTAGCTAGCTTCTCAAATTGTCCTTATATATTTGGTATACTCCGAAAGGATGGGAAACAAGAGAGACGCCAAGTGAGGCATACGAGTTTTTTTTTTTTTGGTAGCAAACGAAAGTATGCATATATATAATACTTGAAAGTTGTTAACAAACCTAAGCCAAATCATGAGTAGGTTTGATTATAGACCGATCAACTTTAGAAATGATAAGAAAATTAAAACACTTAGCTATATGTCTAATCTCCGAAATAGTTGATGAAACATTCCAATCTGAATCGAATTTGCTTTACAAAACATCTAGCAAAACTTGACAATCCGAATATCCCGCCGCGATCTCTTGCCCAACAAAGAGCTTTCTGCAAGAAAAGGAGAAGAGGAAGGTGATTTACGTAACTTTTTTACTGATTTTTTAGACTTGATTTGCCTACTCTCATTTGTGATCTTCAGTGAGAGAAAAGGAGAAATTTACCATTATAATGATGATGAATTTAATAATTTCATTACTAATTGACACAATAATGCATATCTTGAGTCTTAATAAGCTAATAAAAAAATTTAAGAGCAAAAAAAAAATTACTATGTCATTTGATACGCTTTGTTTTTAAGGACGAAGGCAACTTATATTCAAAACCTTTCAACTTAAATAAGTCAGATTTTATACCTTTTATTTTTAATTATTTTAATAAATAACGTTTTAATTTATTTTTATTTTTCTGGGTTTGCTTTTTAGTGTGTGATAACAAAACGACATCTTAGCTTATTAAAATACCAAGTAAATTGACTTATAAACTAATGTCAAAAGCTTCACGATGCAATTCCACCAAATTAATTTATCAAATTGCATCAAGGAAACAAAAAATAAAAAAATACAAATATCAAAAGAGAGAGAAGAAATTAATAAAAAGAAACTTTTTTTTTTTTTTTTTAAATTCCAAACACTACAAGACATCGGAGATTTTCCCGGACCGTGTCACTCTATTTACAAAAATGCATCTGCTATTTATTACACACAAACATGGAAACTAGTAAATGTTTGGTTGCTGTATTTTTGTTTTTATTTTTTTTCCAAATGAAAGAAACAAACAAAGAAACTCTATCCACCACTGCGTCCATTTCAACTTGGTCACTCTTTGGGATAATATACAACCATCTCTCTCTATGTGATCCTCAGAAGCAACATATTCCATTCTGAATGAAGAGCTGGAACCACAGTTTGCATGATCTGCAAGCAAAGCATTGAATGTCTGATGCCTCTAACTCAAAACACATCCCAATATCTCCACCCAAGCAAAGGCCTAGGGTTGGGACTCATCAACCCCACACCACTTCAGATTGTACCCTTTTCCCTTAAAGCAGGCTCATAAAGGTCTCCTCTAATTCTCAAGTCAATAATAAATTTCAAGTAGCAAGAATAACTGTAATCTCATATTATTATGCTTCATACTAAAAAACCCAATTGGCCATTTCATCTAAACAACAATAGTGAAGATCTTTATTTCTTTCTTTCTTTCTTTCTTTCTTTTTGTCAAAAATAAAAGCTAAAACTATATTAAGAAAAAAAGATGAAGTACAAAGAAGGCAAGCAAGAAAAGAAGAAAGTACAAACAGAAAAAAACATCTCACATTCTACAAGCAGCTCTCCAATCCCTAGAAACAAGAAAAAGAGGGATCCCTTCAAAAGGAGGCGGCATTGAAATCCAGAAAGATGCCAAAAAACAATTTCCTTCCCACAAACTCTCAATATCTTCACATTTCCCATCAAAAACTCTAGCATTCCTTTAAAGAATTTCAATATCATATATTTTTCTTTCTTTTTCCAGTACATATGATCGTGAACAATGTCCAACAAAATAAAATAACCTAACATGGATAGGGGAGATCTGTGTTGAATCATAAAGAAAAAAATAATAATAAAAACACATTAGATTACTCTGTAAAAAAAATGCTACTGATTCATTTTCATTTCAATCTTTTCAATGCTACTGACTACACTGAAAATGTAAGAATCCAGTGTCTTGATGAGGAAAAATTATCCTCCCAATAGCAGAGGGGCATTCAACCACATTGTTCCCTTCTTCTTCAGACAAGATGGCCATGTGTCCCCCTGCTATTGGGTGGGAGCATGGCCACATGGCAATCATGTTAAGTTGTCCCATTGAGAAGTTTCCTTTTTAAGTATTTGGGACTTTCATTGGGGGGAAATCCTAGAGCAGAGACTTTTTGAAACCTTGTCCTTGTTATGATTGGGAAAATATTGGAGGGGTGGAAGTGAGCATTGTTGTCTGTTGTTGTAGGGGGAGGGATACATTTTGGTGCAGTTCGTGTTGAGTTGCATTCCTATTTACTTTGTCTTTGTTCAAGATCCCCAGTCAAGCTTGCAAAAAAAAAAAAATTTGAGAAATTGATGAGACTTTCTTTGGGAAGGGTGTGATGAGGGTAAATGGGATCACTTAGTTAAGTGGGAGGTTGTCTCTCTTCCCAGGTATAAAGGGGGTCTTGCTATAGGGAGTATTGTTGATAGGAATATTGCTCTCTTGAGCAAGTAGTTATGGAGATTTCTTGCCAAACGTGAATCGTTATGGTGTTTCATTATTAAAAGCAAGTATAGAATTCATGCCAATGGCAGAGATTCTATTGCGGTTAGTAGAGACAATTATCGTTCTCCTTAGTAGTCTAAATCTCGTTTGTCCCCACTAGTGTCTAGTTTCTTATCTTTGAAAGTAGGTAATGGGGTTAGCATCCGGTTTGGGACAGATGTTTAGACAGGGGATATCTCTTTTGATAGAGCTTTTCCACTTCTATATAGATTGGTCCGTTCTCAAAATGTTTCAATTACATCAGTGGCATCTTCTAACGTGGCACCAATCTCTTGGAATTTCAATTTCCTTAAGAATTTAAGCGATAAGAGTCTTGAATTGGCAGTTTTGTTGTCATTGATTGATAGGATTTCTTCATCTTCTTCCAGCGATAAAAGGGTTTGGAATATCATCTCTTCAAGGATTTTCTCATGTAAATCTTTGTTTGACAAACTCATTGATAAACCTTTTGTTCCTTTGTTTCTTTCTTCATAAGAAAATTTGGAAATTTGGAAAGCGGTTGTTCCTCATAAAGTAAAATTTTTCATGTAGTCCGTAGCTCAAGGAGGTGTCATGACCAATGATCTCTTCCAAAGGAGAAGGCCTAATTATTTTTTGTGTCCTCAATGGCGCGTGACATGCTATCCGAATTCGGAATTGGGAATTGGCGGATCATTTATCTCTTCATTGTCCAGTGGCTCTTTTATTATGGCAGCGTCTTTTTGGTTTGTGTGATGATCAGTGGGTTGCTCCGAGGGAGTACACACACATGCTTCTTGTTAGGTTCAAAGGGTTTGGCAGCAATAAGAGAGCCGAAACATTGTAATCTTTTATTGTTTTAGCTATCTTTGGGTTTATTTGGCTGAAAAGAACACACAAATATTTGATGGAAAGGAGTCATATGCAGAATCTTTACGGGATTAGGCGGGATATTTAGCTTCATTTCGGGCTTTTGTGTCTCCTCCTTTTAAAGGAGCTCCATTTTTCTTGATTTCTAGGGATTGGACTATTATTTGTCATTCTTAGTGATTGGAATTTTCTCGTTAATTCCTTTTTCTTTTTCTTTTCTTTGGTATCTTTCATTGTATGAGGACTCCTTGTTCTCTCTTTTTTTCTTGCTTGTACTCAAAAAATTCTTTGTTGTTCAAAAAAAAAAAAAAAAAAAAGAACCATCGCCTAAAAAACACTGATCAAAATCATTAGGTGCATTACATACAAGATTTGAGTTTCCTCAGAACTTACTGAGTTTGGAACCGATTTTCCCAAGTTAATCTTCTAATGTGTCATGACATTTTATGGGTACATTGCCAGCTACAAACTCTACACATCAGAGCACGTGCTCACATTTCCTCGCAACAACTGCAGATTCCCCTTTCCATAGTCTACCGGAAAAAATAAATTGAGTAAAGCTCCAACTAAAAAACAGTTATTTACCTAAATGTAAATTACTAATAGGTTATAAACATACATACACAGCCATATTTTAAAAAGGGAAGAATAAAATGGAAAATTTCCACCATGACAGCCTTAAGGTGTTGGGAACTTGAGATGTTATAATCTTTTCGAGTTTTGTAATTTCCATTTAAATATAAGAAAATTTTACTTCAATTAGTAAAATTAGTGAAAAAAATAATCCGTACAAATATAAGATAAAAGTTGACCGGGTTAAAGCTATGGAAACATTTCAGAAGCATTTTAGGGCAACTAACATTTTTTATCAAACATAGCTACATTAGTGATGAAACGAAACACAGCCAAGTAATCATAATATATACCAACGACACAATATACAACCATGTAAGGCATTTTATGCCTATTTAACATTTTTGATCAAACATAACTACATAAGTGATGAAACAAAGCCTAGTAATTATAATATATAACAATGACAAAAACTCTCAGAGGATAGGGAAGACAAGCATGCTGGAGACAACAAAAGAAGAAAGAGAAGAAAAAGAACAAAAACACAAGTACAGCAGAGAGGAGAAAAACCCAGAAGTCACAAGAAATAAAGCAGTCTTTTATGAATCTATCAATCTCCCAAGTCAAAAGGGTGGTCCCCAGGATTTAATAGGCCAGAAAAACCTTCAACTGTGGTTTGCTTCCAAAACTAACCACCACAATTTGTTAAGATTTTAGAGAGAAAAAAAGTAAATAAATAGTTTGCCTCACCCACTTAGGCACAAAAAAAAAAGCTCATCATTTGTCCCTTAGGCTTCACTTAGGCCGAGAAAGTCTATGCCACAAAACAGGCCAGCTTAGTTTCTAATCCTCAAAGTAGTTTTCTTGCACCTTGCCTCAAACTCAGAACACTGACATACATGCATGTACTGGGGATGTACATAGATGCGAGACAGAGAGACTTACAGTTCAAATCAAAATTTTCTTCCATCATGTGCTGAAACAAAAGCTGACATCAACTTCTATACTTTGACATACTTCTGAACATAGCCCTGCAGAATTATGTCATGAGATGGTGCTGTAAAGAAAATATATGATTTTATTCAAGCATCATTTACAATTGTTACAAGTAAGTTACAAGTCAACGAATCTCTTGAACAAATTTTATGCTATGTAAATCTTTCTATTTCTTGAGTTTGTCTCAGAAATAAAAACAAAACCTCGTATTTCAAGAAATAATGCAAACTTCTGTTGCGAACTTCTGTATGTTAAAATATTTACAAACAGCAAATCCTAGAGACATTTGAACTTAAACAACTTTCATTCGACACGTCTCAACAATTAGATCGATGCATTAAGAGTTTTACATTCATTTGGAAGATACAAGCCAAAAATGAACATGTAATTTTGGGGCATCTTTTCTAATTAAAAAATTGGTGAAATTGTAAATCAGAAAATTCAAACTCTTTTTGACATGAATACTGATTTATTCAGCATTGATATATCATTTGGGCCCAAAGAGCATAGTTCCTACGCTATTATGTTAATTTCATGTGACCAGTTCACGAACACACTATTTCTGAAACATCCCTTTTTCTTATCTTTCATATAAAAGTTTTCTTTAATCCTCACACACAGGTTTTTATCATGCAACAAGACTCTGTTTACAATAAGTTCAGATAATAAAAAGAACAAAATGGCAAGTAAAAAGGAAATTTACCATCACAAGTTTAGTGAGTTTCCGCTGTGATGAGTCAATATAATGATTAATCTTCGCCTGAGACTTAGGTATTTGGTGGCTCTTCATAGCTCCAGACACCTTGTCAATAGTCTTCTTGACAATCGTCTTAAATGCCTCCTTGCTCATACTACCCTGTCGCCAGGATGGCTTTAGCACCTCCTTCACAAAATCTGCAAGGGCTACCTTGAAAAGTTTCATTGATCTTGAATCTTTACTCTTCTTGCTCTTCCCTGGCGTCTTAATTTGATCAATCTCAATCTCTCCCGCTGATGTATTTGTTGCATCAAGTGGATTGCTTGCACTTGCATTGTCCACATCATCCACTTCTGCATCTGCTGTCTCGCCATATTCATCATTTTCACTTTTTACTGATGTAGTTACCGTAACAACTCCAACATCTTTCTTCCTTTCTTCTTCCACGTCTAATAGCTTCTGGGAACCAGTGGGTTGATGCTTCGGATCATAATCAAATTTCTTCAATGAGTTTTCAGATGGCTCAATGCTGTCAAAAAGTGGATCATACTGATCACTGCCTGACCTAGGTAAATCAGCAGGCCTGGAAGACTTTGGTGAGGATTTCATGTGTCTAGAACCAAGACTTCCAACACCATGTCCATCAGCTGGAACATGGCTCAAACTGTAAGGAGCATCACCTAAATTACTGTGGGGCATGTCCTTTTCTGGATTGAAAACATTAGAGCTGAATTTGGACCTTAGTGGCTGGTCAAAAGTGGAAGCATAAGGATTGTAGTAGTTTGAAATTCTTGACCCTCCAAAATCAGACAGGTGAGATGGCTGATTCTTGTCAAGAATATCTGATGTATATCTTGACAAGGAAGGATTAATGTTTCCATAATCACCCAAATTTTCAGCAAGACCATCAGCAGAAGGCCGCTGCAGACCATAGAGTGGCCTTTGATGTTGCGAGTAAGTATGATTCTGAGGAGATGAACTAAAAAATCTTCCTGAAGACAGGTTGTCACCTGGGAAAGACTGCATTGTCCTTGATGCTGAATCCCTCAGAGAAGGCAAAGGTTGAGGGGGTATGTTGCTGTGAGCAAATGAATTTGGAGGATTTAAACCCTGAACTGGAAACTGTGAGAAGTGATCTTCTCCAACAAGACCTGTACTTCCAAATGGTTGACTCACTGGGTTGCTCATAGGGAGAGTTTTTGGTCTGAAATCTTTCATGTGCAAGGAACGTTGAGGAGGCTCTGGCCCTTGCATTAGAGAGTAGTTGTGATGGTGAAACTCACCCACCTGAGAATGAGCAGGCAGTTCATGTGGGTAAGGCCTTAAAAAAGTCAACGAAGTTAAATCATTTCTTGGAGGCAGCTGATTCTGTTGAAATTGTAACAAAGGAACACCTTGCATTGCAGTTGCTGCATTTACAGCTGAATTGTTAACAAATGATGGTCGGGGAGGCAACGGCGGTGGTGGTGGCAGGGACCAAGAGTAGTTTGGTGGCATTGCAAAATGGGAATTCTGGTTTTGCATTGAACCTTGATAAGGAGGACAGTTTTCCATATGAGGAGAGAGAGATGAAAATTTCAAAGTTGGTTGCGTCAAATCGTGTTCCCTGGGCAGCTGTGGCACATGAGGGATACTTGTGCCTTGTGAAAATGAGGGAGGGGGAGGCGGTAAATGCAAATGATGAACTGGAAAATCCACAGCAGGAAGAATGACTGGAGTGAACTCCTTAGGAGGCAGGGATTGAGATGAAAATGATTGGTTAATAGAACCTGTACCATGATTCTGAACTGAAGAGATCTTATTCAGAAGAGGTTCACTAACTGAAAGCTGATTTTGAAAGGTTATTGATTTCTGAAGTTGTGAAAATTCAGATGTAGAACAGTCATCTGCATACTGAGAATGGTAATCGGTGTTCTGAAGCACTGGAAGAGAGAGATTAGCTTGAGGATGCGGAATCACCAACTTTTCAACCAAAGCTATGCCATGAGCAGTATCACCAGGTGATGTTGGGGCACCAACATCATCAGTTAACAGACAAGAGGGAGAACCATCAACAGGCTGAACAGTTTCTATTTGTTCTGGACAATTTTCATGATCAGGACGTCCGGAAATGGAATTTTCATGATCAGGACATCCGGAAAAGGATTCCTGTATCTCTTCTTTAATATCTCGAGTATCCTGCACGACTGCGGTTACCTCTACAGACCTCTCAGATTTAGCCACTTCAGCAACCAAAGACTTGTCATCTTGATTAGAAATTCTAGTTTGCACAGAAACTAATATTTTCCCCGCGTCCATGTTCTCATCCTTCAGAGCACCAAAACTGCTTTCAGGCATATCCTGCTCATGAACTGATCTTTTAGGCAGGGTTTTCTCAATCTCTTCATGAAAATCAGAAGTCCTTGAAACAGGTGGAACTTCCAGATACTGATGTTTGCTCCTATAGCGTCTTGCACCATCACTCTTGTCAATGTCATGCACATACCGACAAAATGCTCCACGGTGGCACCTGCCTCGAAGAAAGTCAAAACATGCTGGAGGCTGACCCCTGTTCCATCTCATTTTGTCACCACCAGATTCAACCCCGCGCCTATACGTGGGAGACCTGCTCCTGCTTCGTTTTTTGGGAGACCAACTGAAACAAAATCACGAGGAAATTAACAATTTCATGAAATCAACATAAAAGCAAGTCAAGAGTACACATTCTAAAGTTAACTAAACCAGCTATTATGAATCAAATAAGAGAAATCAATTGATATTTAGTCTAAAATACAAATCGAATACATTGCATACCTGCGAGACCGGCTTCGCTTCTTCACCCTTCTCCTCCGGGGACTCTTCCTCCTCCTATCATGAGGGGATCGGCTTCGGCTCCAACTTCTCCCTCTCTTACCACGCCTTCCAGTATAGCGTGATTCATCAGAGTCACTGTCACTAGCACCTTCTCTGACTAATCTACCAAACTCATCAACTTTTGGGAGAGTAGACGTATTTTTAACATCTTCCTTCCGAGACTGAGACTTGACACTCTCAGCAGCAGAAGCAGCAGCAGCATCAACACCATCAAAGGCATCTTTTTGTTGCAAAGCCTCAGAAGCAGCATTTTTAATAGATACTTTATTTTCACTGTTATTTCCAACCATTTCTTCTGTTTTAACAGTTGCAATGGATGTTATTGTTGTTTTCCTAGCATTCCTTAGTGATTCTGGGGGGAAATCCCAAGCATTTAATGGCATGCTCGAAGGACATGCCACAACAGACTCGGACAATATTCCAAATGCCATCTCAGAGCTTGAGAGATCCTTCGATGCTGGATCTGTCCGTAAATTAGATCCTATATCTCCGTGCAAACTTGTAGCACCTGCTGTAGTCAATGGTGAAACTGTTACAGGGCTCACATCTTCAAGACAAGGCTTCTCATCATCTTCTGAACTATCATCAGAAGCATAGTCTTGTAAAAGTCTGAAAGGGCTAGCACCTTTGACGAGTTCACCAGGAAATTTCTCAGACCGAACACCTCCTGCAGCTTCTGACACGTTGGATTGAGTTAAATCTTCTAGGAGTGGAACAGAAGATTTTTCTACATCGCTGTTTGAGGGGCTTCCATCTGAATTCATGATAGAGCTATCAACTTTGGAAAGTGACCTTCCAAAGGTAAAGTGATCATGATCAGGAAAGAGTTTGGACCCTGTAAATGCATAGGAAAAATAGGGTAGTTCAAATTTGTCAGAAACAAAACAGAATTACTGGTAATTCCAAAATTATGCATATTGAGCTACATTACACAGACTCTTTGTTTTGTGAGAGGTACCCCGCGTCGACACGACACGGGTACCGGTGCGGAATACGGCCGGTAAACGGCTAGATACAAACGGATACGGCTGAAACTCAGAGATGGAGAAAGAGAGAGGGGGGCTGAAACTCAACTTTGCAAAGCAAGTCGAGTGGCGAAGCAAGATCGAAAAGCGAACCCTAGTTGCGAGCTCAACCGAATCGAAGGAGATCATCGCAAAGTCGATTCCACCCAGAAAATGATCCTAGGGCCCCTCCCTCCCTCCCTCGCTCCCTCCTCTTCTCTTTGTCTTCTCCTCTTTGTTCTCTCTCTTCTTGTTCTCTGTTCTCTTTAAATTAGATTAATATTATGTAATATAAATTAATATAATAATATATAATATTTTTCATCTTACATAATATCATTCAGCCAAAAAAATATTATATAATATAATATATCATAAATAATATATTTTTTATTCCTAAAATAAAAATAATATATTTTATCATATATAATATAATTTATTTTATACCTACAATAATTTTTATTTGTTATTTTTTTAGTAAATTTGTTATTCCTTAACTTTTTTTAACTCATCTTCATATAATAAATATATTTTAAAAATAATTATTTAATGTATCCCCGTACCCGTATCTAAATTTATATATATATCCACGCATCCTCAATTTTTAATTTTTAAGTGTCCGACCCCTAGACCCGCACCCGCACCCGATACCCACACCCAAGTCCGTGTAACGTAGATATTGAGGTGAGAAATCAAGAAATAAAGAGGTGAATAGAAACGGAATGGTTAACTTATTTTCTTGGTTATTATAGATACATTTTTCGTAAACACTACTACTGTTTTTCTTTTTTCCCCATCCTTGCTAATACTACAAGAATTAGCAACTCTTGTGTTTTACCTTATGGTAAACTCCTTTCCTAACCTTTCAAACCTTTTGTTTATGAGCTTCTAATTTTCACTGAACTTTATTGAACCTTATGCTTAATCTTGTTTAAAAATTTAAAATTAACCTGGTTTGTCCATATGGATACCATTTTACCTTCATTTATTATTAATATTGTTATTATGTTTATTTTTTATATTTTAAAACCTTCTTGGTTGGAACCTTATACGTATTTAGAATCGTATACAATTGTGTGTGATAACATTGATTTGTTTGTCATTAATTTTAAGATTCTTAGTTCCCATTGAATTTTACTTCCTAAATATACATTTGTACCATTTATGTAAATAACAGCTGCACATGGAACCAAATCACCCGCCCAACCCGAGCTGTCCAACCCCAAAAATCGCTCTACAAACAATTTTGAAAAGTGTTACGGTCAGCAGCGGTTTCAAGTGTATGGAAAAAGCAGGTCAGGTGGTCAGATGTCGGTTTTGGATTTAGTACATCTATATAACCCTTCCCGACCGAACATATACAATTATATAGATTTTGTTTGGACACTTGGTGTAATATCATTGACTGAATGAGATTACACTTATCACTTCGTCCTTAGGTTTTTTTTGTTTTTTGGATGACCAGGTGTCCGAGCTAGCTTGTGTGCACCTCAACTAATCCTGTCACCTACGCAAAGCGCCTCCTCCACGTGGATCGGGCAAAGCTCGGGCATTGCCCACGGACGTGGCCCCAAGGAGCGGATTGCTCGTAATGGGAGTTGAACTTGAGACCCAGAGGAAGCACACCTCTAAGCCCCAAGTTGCATCCACTAGGCCAACCCTTGGGGTTACTTCGTCCTTAGGTTTTTTTATTATGTTTTAGATCAGATCTAATACTCTAACTCTCATGTCTCTTACCCTCTCACTCTCACAGCCTCGTCTCTCAGCCCTCAACGTTTTTGTGATGTCTCACTCTCGTCTCTATCGTGATCCGTTACATTAAGTGGCACTACAGAGCTCCTCTCTCTCACGATCTCCACAGCCTTTTTCTCTCTACCCGACTATGAAAACCATCTCCCTCACCCTTTTCACTGAAATCCTAATATATGGAAGATGATGAAGACTGAAGATATTAAATGTGACTTGAGTGTTGGGAATGAGTAGATCGAAATGAAGAAAGAGTAAAGCAAGTAGAAGATACCTTTTTCTTGGCCATCCAGTCCCGAGGACCTGGATGCATTGTCCTTCACAGGACTATATTCATCAGCATTCTGTGATGCACATAACTGCTCTCGAATATCAAGCTCTTTGGGTATCAATACAGTCTCAGGATTCAGACTTTCAAATGAGGTATAAACCCGCTGCTCTGCATCAGGCTGGGTGATATCATCTAAGGGCCACCCACACAAAAACAAAGAGAAGAGAAAGCTTCAGCATTCCAACTGTACACAGATTACTCAGAAGAACTCATGCACAATACAAGTTAACATGTTTGTCATTTCGTTTGCTCCTCTCCTACAAGAACTTTAACTGAAACGTCATCAAAAGCAACACAATTATAATCTATTCAAAAACCAAAGATATGTGCAAGGGATTTCACACCCAGGAAGCAGTTTTTATGAGGCAGCAAAAGAATAACCAAAATTTAAGTCACCTTAAATACATAAGGTAGAGGAGTCTTTGAAGAAAATACCTATCAAGGGCGAAAGTACAAAAGAAAATTTTCTATCAAAGGAAAAGAAAGGACTAGAGAATAAATTTCTTCTAATAAAGCGCAAAAATATGTTGTATAGGCCTAGGAACAGCTTTGTGAAAGATGAGACACTACACATAGCACTGGTAGAGTTATCACCCAGCTAAACAACTAACTCAAAAATCTGTTCCTCAACCTATATGCAAAGGTACAATTGAAGAAAAGAGAACCTATGCAACAATTACCCCAACACCTTCAAAGAAGCAATGATAGCCTGCTTTCTCCTGTCACAAATAGTTCTCCTCCAACTATATAGAACCCCTCATAGGAAACTGATGAACATGAACAGATTTCCAGACATGAAATTATAAGCCCCATAGATCCCATGCTGATAAGAAAAAAAAAGCCCCATAGATCGCTTAACACCCTAACATGAAGAAAGAGAGATTAACAGTTTCTGCCACAAGACGTGCAACACTGAAGAGAGGATGGCCCTGCAAAAGAACAAAATTCAAGGGTAAGGTGTATAGCCATGATAACCTGGATAAAGATGCGAAGGGGTTGGAGGACTTCTCTAGGGTAGAGGTGCTATAGAAGGAGGTGGTGGATTGCAGGCTTGTGAAAATGGGTGCAAGGTATCAGCTGGGGATACAGAGGTATGGGTGAGAAAAAAAAAATTATCAAAATATGGTTTTGGTGGCAGTGCCTTTTGAGACAAGTGGTTCTAGATATGCAAGCGGGTGGTGCATCGTGGAGGGGAGAGGGGCAAGAATGTAATTGGATTGATAATGTAGAATGGTGGAGTTGATAGGCCTACACTCACAAAAGAAGTTTAGGCCAAGGAAGTAGCAGTCCAAGCAGGTGGATAATATTCAAGAATTCTGTTTGTCTTCTGATTTTGGAGATGGCACTGACACCTCAGAGCAGTTGACAAAAAGGGTTCAAGACCTTAGCATATTTCTCAGGATTCCATGCAAAGGTTTTGAGAAGGATGCTAAGCAATTAACTGCAGCAATTGAAGCAAAGAAAAGACCAAGGATGGACAAAAATTCTGCTGAGAGGGGATTCAGAGCAATAAGTGGAAGGGAGTTAACGAATTTGGATAGCACCATCAATTATAATGTAAGAGATAAAAGGAGTTTTGAGCAGACAAAGGTAGATGGAAGGGTTGTTGATAGATGTTCTTGAATTTTATTCAGAGAGTCTAAGGTGAATTTTTTGTTTGTTTGGTGTTGTCCATGTATGTTTGTTGATGTAGTGGTTCTTTTGCATTGTCTTGTATTCAAGAATACTGGTTGTCTTCTGATTTGTGAGATGCAATTGACACCTCAGAACATGTGACAAATAGGGTTGAAAGCTTCAGCAAATTTCTCAGGATTTCATGCAAAGGTTTTGAGAAGGATGCTATGAAATTAATCGCAGCAACTGAAGCAAAGAAGAAGCCAAAGATGGACGAAAATTCTGCTAAGAAGGGCGAATCAGAGCAATAAGTGGAAGGGAGTAGACAAATTTCGTTAGCACCGTCAATAATGATGTTAGAGATAAAGGGGTTTGAATGGATGGAGGTAGAGGAAGGAAGTTGTTGATGGATGTCCTTGAATTTTAGTCAGAGAGTCTAAAAGAGAATTTTTGTTCTTTTGGTGTTGTCCGTGTATTTTTGTTGATGTAGTGGTTCTTTGCTTTGTCATGTATTCAAGCATGCTGGTTGGCTTCTGATTTGGGAGATGGAACTAACACCTCAGGGGAGGTGACAAAGAGAGTTGAAGGCCTCAGCAAAATTTTCAGGATTCCGTGCAAAGATTTTTGACGAGGATGCTATCAAATTAATCACAGCAATTGAAGCAAATAATGCCGATTTATTTGGCTGTTGGTTGGTTCTTGTCCACCTCCCTTGATTGGCTGTTTTTAAGCTAGTTTTGCCTTGGGGCATGTTAGTTTCGCCTAGCCATTGAATTGTGAGAGTTTAATCTTTTCAGGCTAGGTGTTACGCTTCAGCCAAGCATTTGGTTTGGGCGTCACTTCTTTGAAGCTGTGTTGAACCTCGGGGCTGTGTTTTGAGCGTCAGTATAATATCTATTCTTTTTTATATAAAACTAACCCCTTAAAATAAATAAATAAAAACACTCAGTTAAAACCTTTAAAAATCATATATAAAGACCCAAATATATACCTTAACCCATATTATAATCCAAGGGAACCCCCTTCAGCTCATTCCAAAAATTCTACAAGTACCAAAATAACCCTAACTCGTAAAAAAATTTGAAAAACCTAACAAATCATACAGAAAACTGACACAAACAATAGTATAAATACTCTACTAAGACCTACATGTGATTAATAAAGGTTCCAAGCGAAAGTGGTTCTCTAGGTTGAAACTAACCAAATTCCAAACTTAGATACTTCTTTAATTCTACTTTTTCTTAATCTTCTTGTGACCTATATCATTAAGTTTGAAGCAACAAATCATCAAACGTGACACACCCAAAATCTATCAGACCGTGCACTCCATAAAACATCTAAAAATTTCTAACTTCTTCATAAAATATCTAGATAAATAACAAGGGAGAGGAGGACGAGGAGGACAGACAAAGACAAACAGAGGCTGTCACAGCTTCAAGGAACACACACACACACACACACACACAAATTCAAAAAAACAAAAAAAACAGGAATCTAGAGATATGAATACATTGGTAGGCATCAATGGAATAAAGAGAAAGGGATGAAATTCAATACAGCAACACCAGTTGCACTAACCTTCCATATCCATGTCAGAATCAGTTGGTGAATGGGATACACCTGCATCCATCAAAAAATTAGTTTGCGTTAAAGTGTCAATGTCTGAAGGCCCTAAGGCTGAATTACTATGCTCGTGCTGCAAAATACATTTCTTTTTCATCCTTTCAAAATATTCATGTGCAACTGCAGCTTCACTTCCTGGCTCACCACCAAACAAAAATTCAAACTCAGGATTCCCCGACTCTTTCTGACGAGCCATATCTTCAAAACCACGACCGTTCTTTGCAATAAAATGACATAGAATTTCAATTTTCCGCACAACTTTCTCTTCCACCGGCTTGGGTGGAGGTAGATCCAATTTTGTACCTTCCACAGCTGATAAATCGTCTTTCACAATGGAACCCACCTCACAGCTGATCATGCCTTCAAAATTTTTATAGTCATCAAACACAGGTGCATCATCTCTGATTTGGGTGGAAACCACAACTTCATTAACAGAATCAGATGCCATCACTTCAAAGCCTGAATGATTGGAAGTTGGACCTGATTTGGAATTACAGGACAAGTCAAAAGCAGTAAGTAGAGGTGTAGAAGGCAGGGCTCCAAAAGGAGGGGGAGATGTAGGCGGTGGTGGAGAAGGTGGAAGGGGTGGAGGAGATGACGGTAGTGGCGGCGGCGGTGGCAATGCCCCGGGATCCTGATGGGCTGAATGCACAAAAGATCCAAATGGAGCAGAAGTGAAGAAACTAGATGTGGGTGGGGGCGGTGGAGGTGGTGGTGGCAGTGGGATTTGTTGAGTACCCTGCACACTATCTGGCTGCTGTAGATGAATTGGGCCTCTATGTGGAGTTTGCCCTTGTGAAGGTGTGGGTAATATTCTAGGAGGTAATGATTGCCGGCACATTTCTGAGCTACTTGGACCAAGAGGAGGAGGGACAGGTGGTGGAATATGATGCATATTATGGGTCCATTGGGAGTTCTGCTGCGTATGTGCCATAGAGGTATTTCCATGGAATTGCTGGGGTGAGGGTGGGGGCGGGGGCGGTAGCAAGTAAGATTGCCCTGCATTCAACATTCCACTTGTTGGGACTTGCATAGTCGGGCCTTGCTGAGCTGGGGGAGGTGGAGCATGTTGATACAAAGCAGGGCCAGAAGGAACAATGTGAGGTGGAATAGATGGAGGAACTTGTTGTATTAAAGAAGGTTGTGAAGCTGGAGGGCCCTGCTGGAAAGGAGGAGGAGGAGGAGGAGGAGGAGGAACCATAGGGCGGTGTTGGAATTGAGACATGGGTGTTTCGGAACCTGGCCCAAACTGAGGTCCATAATTACCCTGACCATACATTTTAAGCAGCTAAACTTTATTAATAAATCAATCAAACTCCGCTAATTTGCTGCATAAAACCTTCAACCTTGCTAGCAAAAGAACATTAATCAATTGAAGAGTCCAACGAGCCTCACTGAAACATAAAATACAAACTGTCATCTTAAAGTATTAAATTCAGAAGCGATAAATTTGAACATACATATGAATATATATCTACATGTGGAAATTGGGAACATCAAAAAAACCAAAGCGCACATTAACTACAATCAATAATAATGCAGAAACAAAACACTTGAGATGCCTCCACTCCTGAATACTTGACGTAGGCAGCATGAAATCTTTTTCACCCCATTCAACAGGCAAAACTATACTGTTCTTAAATCATATCTAACCAAGTTTTTTTCATTACACCTCGCTGTATTCTCAAAAGTATTTTTGTCGGCCTCTTAGCTGCTTCATCTAAAATTCAGTTGACCTCCTTGCAATTCCAATACTCAATAAAATGAACGACAATTCCAAACTTTTTCAATTAACACTTGGAATTCAATACAACATTTTGCAGCGGTATAATAAACAAAATGTATAAATAATTATAATTAAGGCTTAATCCAGAAAAACTAAACTTTTGTGTAGACACAACAACTGTAACAATATCAAAAACAGCAATTTCGAAAAATCAACCCTAACATCACCTATGAAACACGGATACTTCAAATAGGGTGACGTATCCGTATCGGATACCGATACTCCTTGGATACTCGCGGATACGTATCAAATACTTATTAAAAGTATCGAATACTTCTTAATTATTTTTTCATTCATTTTGGAGTATCGGATACTTAATTTTGAAGTATCCGATACTCTAAGTCATGTTTACTTGTTTTATTAAATTAGAATTGTAACATTTCTTGCATAGTAATATAATATAATATAATTGCAAGTATAACTATAAGAATATTTCTCTAATACTTTGTTAAGTTCGTCGATAAAAAGAGCATAGTGAGTTAAATAATAGAATTTATCAAATTGATGTATTCTAATTATTCTTTACATGTCCCCTATAACTACATAGAATAGAAAGTAAGAATTAACAAGAGAATATAACAATGGTAAAATTAAATATCAATAAATAAATAAATAATTAAACTTGAATACAATATTTTTCACTAGTATCAAAGGAAAAATCATAGGGACAAATTGTGAATTGTTCTATTATTGTAATATAAATATATTAAACTTGATATTGAAATGAAATATTTGCAAGACCTATTAAAAATTTAAAAAGTAAACAAGCTACTAGCTTAAATTAATACAAAATTCTTAAAGGTTAGTATTTTGCATTACCAAAATTACATTATAGTTTCTCAACGTTCTTTAACTTATGTGTAACTCACTATTAATAATTTTAAAAAATATATTTTTCACAAACGTATCATAACCGTACCGGTATCCTATTTTTTTATGTTTTGTCGTATCGCCGTGTCCATATAATGTCGTATCCGTATCTTGTATCTGTGTCTATGCTTCCTAGAATATCACCAACCCTCTGTTCCCATCCAATCCACCATATAACCCTAAAGTCTAAACCTTCAAATACATGTGCATCACATGCTCAATTTAAGACTTGCAGCACATCATCCAAACAAACCATCAAAATTTAACATATAAATACCCACATGCAGGTAAAAGCCAACTGGATGGAATTACCCATAATAATCCACAATTTGAAATATAGACATTACAAGCAATCCTTCAACTCCTATTTCCTCCAAGCAAATATAATTTCTCTCATAATTCCCATAGAAACCCAATTATCTGAATTTAAAAATTAAGCATCAAACTTGAACAATAATAATCACCCAAAAAAAAACAAACAACTAGCAAAAAGTATTTACATATATATACCCATACAAGCTTGTGTAGCTTACCATGAAGTTTCATATATTCCAAGCGAAGAAATTTAAGAATACGAAGACAAACCCTAGAGTTCGATTATCGGAATCGCTGGGACTTCACGAGGGTTTGGAAGTATGGTTTGAGTGAGAGAGCGGATGTGAAATAGACAGATACAGATTTTTATATATAAACCCTAATATATATATGTATATTGTGTATTTTATATGTATGTATAGTCAGCTCTTCCTTTGCGTTTGTTTCTTCGGATTCGAACCGAACATAAGAATAAGAAAAAGTCGTAAAATAAAAATTAAACAGAAAATTGTTTGGGACCCTTTTGGAATGATCTTGGCTAGGGGTATTTGCGGATTGGTTTTGTATGATTTACGGTTCGGTTTTGATCTGTTCACATTTATGTAATTCGAGAAAAAGTTAATCCACAATTGTCTGCAGTGCAGTTTGCAGTTTGTGCAGATAGAATTTGCAGATGTGCAGACGGTTACAGGCGGTTTGCGATTTATACTTTTTTCTTTAAAAATAATTTTTAATTTTTTTTTCATCGAATTTAGGCATCAGATTCATTTTATATATTTGTGATCATTTGACAACAATTTTTTGATGAATTTATAAATAAAAATTGAATATCAATACATTAAATGAAAGTACCCAAGATAAAGACTCTACACTAGCATTTTTGTCATGAAAAAAATGTATATCAATGCATTAAAAGTTATACTCAATTAGAATTGTCAGTTCAGTAATCAATAATCAAATTAAAAGCTCCATCGACCACTAACAGGAAAATTTTATTAGGAAAAAGTAGATGAGTCACTAATGAAAATTATATAAGACACCAAGTTTAGGACTTGATAATTCTACGATATTAAGAAAGTTGAAAAATACTTAAAAATAAGGATCCTAGTGTCATAGAGAACATAATGGTGCTCCTGTTAAAATTACAAAGTTGGTATATAAAAAAAAATAATAATAATAATAATTAAAGTGCGAGTGGTTTTTGCGAGTTTAACTCGCGATCCGCCCCAATCCGCAAATTTGTCATATTTCAAACCGCATCCGCGCCGCATTATATTTGCGAAACCGCCCACATTATGTTTGCGAAATCGCCCATTTATATGCAGGTTGGACGATTTGAGCGGTTCGGATAAACCGTTGCCCATCCCTAATCTTGGCCCTTTATGTACGTGTGAAGCCCACTTATGTATGTATAGAATCCACATCATAAGTGATTCAGATTTGTAAGGATCTTGTGGAATAAGAGTCTCAATTATTGCTCAAATTAAATAAGGGCATTTATATATAAGTTTTAATTTATAAGTTTATATTTTATTAAGTCTATTAAGATGTTTTAGACTTTCAAGGTTTATTAAATTTTTAATGGTGGTGCTAAATGTATTAACTAATGTACACACTAATATATCAATTAGTATTATGTTATTATTACAGGCCCCACCTATTATACAAATTACAAATATTCAAAATTTCTAAAATTATGTCACATCATCTAGTAGTATACTAGTTGGTACATTAATTGTTATATAGCATTATTCAATTTTTAATAGTCGGAATTACCTTTTAAACAATAATTGTTCATCATTTATGATTATTTATAAATGAACATGATAATTTGATATTTATTTTGATTTTTAAAACTTTAAAATATCAACTTTCAAATTTAAAAAACTAAAAAATATGTATATGTTGAATTATTTTTGTGTAAAATTGAAAATTTTATATCTATAAAAGAGCATACGATGAAACATTGATGTACAAAATTAAAAAATAAAAATAAAACTGTAAAAATGAAAAAATTGATAATGTTTTTAGTTTTAAAATTAGAAAAAAAAAACTATTAATGTTTTATATTTTATTAAATAATTGAATCAAATCAATAAGTAGCACAACAAAAACGTTTAATCTAGTACTTTGTTTTTTCTCATCGGTTAGTAAAACAATTATCTAGAATATTATTATGCAAAATTAATAATGTTCGTAGTTTTAAAAATTAGAAAAAAAAATAGATAATATTTTTAGTTTTATTAAATAAAACTTATTGATTCAAAAAATCTTAAATATGACATGAGCTACCATAACATTTGTAAGTAGGACTTTTAGATAATTAACTCGTTAAATAAAGGGTAAATTACAATTATACCTTTGAGTTTTGCTTAAAATACGAATCGCTCCTTATAGTTTTGGAAATTACATCTACCCCTGATATTTTTAATTTCATTACAAATAGATCTTTTTATTATTAAATTATTTTTTTATTATTAAATTATTAAGTCAATTAACAATTTTTAATAATATTATAAATATATTTTAATTAAAAATTCAGATAATTTTATTATTATAAGATAGCAATTAAGAATTTTTTTTATAATTAATTCTGTTAAATAAAAAATTTTGACAATAAAATATTTATAATTTTCTAAATCATTGAGGACAGTTGATATTTTAAATAAATAAATAATAAGAAAGATCTATTGCCGTATCGTTTTTTGCTATTTCCAGATAATGTATAATTACTATTTCATCTCATAAATGCATCTCTCTGGAAAAAGTTAGATCGGTCCTACCAATAACATTATCTGACCTTTAATAATAGGATAAATTATAAATAGATTTATGACATTTGATTAAAATACAAATTACTTCCTATAGTTTTAAAAATTACATTTCACTCATGAGATTTCTATTTTTATAACAAATCGCCCCTTTTTATTAATAAATTATTAAGTCAATTAACAGTTTTTAATAATGTTAGAAATATGTTTTAGTTAATAATTTAGGTAATTTTATTATTGTATAGGAAAGTAATTATGAATTTCATTTTTTCAGTTAATTATGTTAAATAAAAAATTATGACAGGGGTTATTCGTAATTTTTTCAAATCACATGAGACAATCTGTATTTTAAGAAAACCTCAGGGAGTGTATTTGTAATTTATCATTAATAATAATGAGAGATTTATTTGTGAATCATATTTAGAAGACTTATTATAAGTTGATAAAGTATTTTTCACTTAATTCTATCAATTTATTATTATTTATTTATTTACCATCTACAAGATATTTTATATTTTAAATCCTAAAAAAATTGAAAAAATTACAAGCCTAAATTTCACAAAATAATCACAGATTTATTAAAAAAAATTAATATTTTAATTACTTTTTTTTTATTAACTAGTAAATTCTCCAAATTTATCCTCCGTCGATTTTGGAATTAACTACCTAATGCCGGTTTAACTGGAGTAGGACGAGGGGCGAATCTCCGGTGTGTGAACAGACTCCACGAGGCACACACTATATAAGGCCTTGTTTGGCATGACCTAAAAAAGTCAAAAAGTCACTATCCTATTTAAGTCACATCATCTTATTTAAGTCACACCACTTCTCTAACACATCACTTCAAACCCAACTCATACCTAACCCATATTTCATAAAAAGTCAAAAAATGCACTTATTTAGATCATCCCAAACCAACCCTAAGTTAGGGAGTGCAGTTATCAAAATTTGACAGAAAAAAGGGATCATTAGCAGAGCAGTGACTGTGGTGCCTCTATTTGAGGTATATTATGACCTTATTTTTATGATCCAAACCGTCAATTTTGTAGGGTTTGTTGAGTACTTCATGCCTACAAAAAATTGTATTAAACAGATATCAACAACTATATGATCACTATCCAAAAAATAAATAATAAGTTTTTCTTTTGAGAAATAGTATAAACAATATGCAATTCGATCATATAGCTATTGATATCCGATTAATATAATTTTTGGTAGGTATAAAGTACTCAACAAATCCTACAAAATAACGGTTTGGATTATAACAATAAGGCCATAATACACCTCAAATGGAGGCACCATAGTAATCACTGTGCTTTTAACATAACAGTGACCCAATTTCCAAATTCGACTCCACACTCAAGTCCTCGATACAGTTCGTCTAGCACTTAAAAGGCCGTTCTAGGACACTACACCCAGGGACGAATCTAGGATTGAGACTTTGGGAGGACTGCTCTATAGTTTGAAAAATTAGAGGGCTACTCTATATAATTTTGAAAGTTTTTAAAAAAAAATTGAAAGTGCGAATTCCTATAATTTTAAATTATTTAAAAATTTCTAGTATAATATATGATATTTTTCAAATTTTTTGGGGTGCGGCCACCTCCCTTAGCCCTCCCTCCCTATAATTTTAAATTATATAAAAATTTTTAATATAATATATGATATTTTTTGAATTTTTAGGTTCCCGACGGATCCAACATTGTCTACACCCAACTCTTGGGAGTTGGCCCAGAAAGTGTGGAATTTCTCTTAAAAACTTTACAGAAGATGCTTAAAGTTTTATTTGGTCAAGTTTTTAAATTCTGTTTTTTTGTTAAAAGCTAATTTGATTAAAAAAACTCATTATATTTTTTATTAAAATTATTTTTTAGTTTTAGTGATTAATTTTCAATTTATTTTTAATAAATAATAATAATAAAACATGCTATCAAATCAACCAAAAAGTGTAACGGCAACAAATTTTTTTGAATTAATATTATATTTGAATTTTTTATTTTTTAAAAGAAAAAAATAATTTATACATTTAAGAATAATAATTTTTAAAACTAATTTAATAATTTTTTAAAAAAATGTTGAAAAATCCATTTACAGGAGCGCGTCGCATTTGATCTAAGAATTGTTTGTTTTAATTATGTAGATATAATTAATGAAATTGTTTGATGAGAATGACAAATGCTGCTATTAGCACGTATTTTAGCCTGGGGCTAAAAAGTATGATTTAGGATAGACCTTTTGACTTTTTTGATTTTTTGGTGAGGTGTCCATTTGTAAAATTACCCATTTGCCCTTCAATTTTCAATTTATTTTTAATAAATAATAATAATAAAACATGCTATCAAATCAACCAAAAAGTGTAACGGCAACAAATTTTTTTGAATTAATATTATATTTGAATTTTTTATTTTTTAAAAGAAAAAAATAATTTATACATTTAAGAATAATAATTTTTAAAACTAATTTAATAATTTTTTAAAAAAATGTTGAAAAATCCATTTACAGGAGCGCGTCGCATTTGATCTAAGAATTGTTTGTTTTAATTATGTAGATATAATTAATGAAATTGTTTGATGAGAATGACAAATGCTGCTATTAGCACGTATTTTAGCCTGGGGTTAAAAAGTATGGTTTAGAATAGACTTTTTGACTTTTTTGATTTTTTTGATGAGGTGTC